TTTAGTTCAAGAAATATAATGATTGTTGAACGCCGGTAGGGATGCCTATGTTCTAGAATCTGTCGAAGGGTGAAGATATGATCAATACACCCTCTACCTGGCCTAAAACCTGCCTGGTTTTCTCGTGTTTGTGTCTCCCGAGCACCACTTAGTCTACGCAGTATTATTGAGCCTAGGACTTTAGATACTATATTAGTCAAGCTAATCCCTCTGTGATTATCACAAGAAGACTTGTCTCCCTTCTTGTATATCGGGATGATCAGTGACTTACACCAACCCGATGGGACTTCCTCTGATTCCCAGACGCTGCCTAGAACCTCAGTTAACGCAGACAGTAAACTGTCTCCACCGTACTTAAATGCCTCTGGAGTCAATCCATCAGGTTCCGCTGCTTTGCCTTGCTTCAGATTAGTGACAGCTTTAGTAACCTCAGTTAAGGACGGAGGACCTGTGTCTATATCCCATTCAGGGAGGTGTTGGATGTCCGGCAGGATAAGTGTGGCTGTGGGCCAATTAAACTGCTCCTCATAGTGTTCTTTCCAGCGCTCCAGACGTCTATCCTGGGAGCTAGTTATGGTGCCATTTTTCTCCGAGATTGTTTCGCTTATCATTTGCCTTTTACCACCGGTTTCCCTGATAAGCCTGTTAGGGGCTGTTAGTTTCACACTCAACCTTCCCTCTTTGTGGGGCTTACAACTGGCTAAAAGAGGTAAAGATGGGCATCAGCCAGGAATCGAATCCCGGACGACATGTGTTGTTGACGAGCATTCTATCGCTGTACAACTGACTTACTCATCTGTTAGTTTATCACTTCACTAATCTTTAACCCCTGTATGTATTTTCTCATATGGCTAAACTATTATTTGGCTGTACAACTATAGTGAATGAGATTCTGTGTGTACAAATAACATCCATTATTTATTCAGATGATGTTTATGTGTACTTTCGAATTACATGTATACTAGATTTTTACAATAGTACTTGTTTATTTCTGGTCACTTTCTAATAAATATTGATAAAAACTAAATAATTAAATTAATATCATAGGCGTTGTGTTACATGTTACCTTAAAGTTTGTTTATCCCAACGACGGAAGTCAAAACTATTGCTTTGGTTGATTTGGCTTGCATATCTATAAATATTATTGTGATGTAAATTCTTCTGGTAACCAATGTGTGAGTGTTTGTATTTACTGTAATTTGCAGTAACAGAAGAATAAACAAGTTTTGTTGTTCTCATTAGTTTGTAACTCCTACTGAAAATATTTTGGTTGTGCAGTAAAATATGTTGCAAGGTACAGTTTCTTATAGTAGTGGTTCGTTAAAGAATTTCTTTGTCTCTATTATTTATTGACTGTCCTATGTTTTACCTTTACATTCACGATTGTTATGATAACAATTACTGTTGCATATAATAAATGTTAGTTTTATGATTCCATTTTTCTAAACGAAGAATTTATTGAGATTCCTCGTCACGCACGGTAGTGAACCTTGTCAGTATATGATAAATAAATAAATTATCTGCATAGGAATGTATGTTATTTGAGGCTAAACTGTCACATTTGTAAGACGTTGATCACCATAACGGATCATTTATTGGTAATTTAGTGGAAATGAGAATAATTTGGTGAAATAGATATAACTCGTTTGAAATGAAGACAGAGGTAAAACAAGGCTGCCTATTATCATCACTGATATCAATAATTGTGGTGGACTGGATTATACGTCAGACTGTGTGTCGTAGCAAGGAGACAGGGATACTCTGGACCACCGATAAGAAGACTCTAGAAGATCTGGACTTCGTGGATGATTTATGTCCAATTTCGCACACACTCGAGATTTACAGGCAAAAGCCAACAAGTTGACAGAAGAAGCAGCGAAGACAGGACTTCAGGTGAACATAGCGAAGACGGAGGTGATGAAGATAACTGACAAGCAGCAACAACAATAAACAGCACCAATCACCATCAACGGGAGAGATGTAACAGAGGTTACCTCCTTCACTTATCTAGGAAGCACGGTTTCAACCACAGGCAGGATGGATGAAGATGTCAAAGGCAGAATCAGATAGGCAAGATAAACCTTCATCAATCTGAAATCACTATGGAAATCTTCTGCACTCCGCGGAGAACATAGCGAAGATGGAGGTGACGAAGGTACCTAACGACTAACAAATACAAGTAGACATCACCGCCAACTGTAGAAATATGAAGGAAGTCACCTCTTCCACTTACATAGGCAGCATCGTTTCAACTAGAGGTGGCATGGATGGGGTAAGTAACAGGGAGCTCTGGTAGCGAATCAACCAAGGGCCTATCGCCCAACAAACATACCAAAGGAAAATGAGATGGATCGAACACACATTAGGGAAACCGTTGGTTGGCATCGCGCAGCAGGCAATTGACAATCTGGGTGTCCGAGGGTAACATGGAGGAGATTGTGTGAGGAGGAGATGAAAGCCTATTGGCAGTTGTGGGGCCATCTAAAGAGGATGGCAGAGAACTGGATAAAATGGAGATGTGCTGTTGAAGCCTCATGTTCCACTCAGAACCTAAGGGAATAATCATAATAATAATAAAGTGTATTCGACAACAGTGAACTATTCTAAATGTAACTGTTCTTTTAATCGCTCTTATATTCGCTACATTTCTGTGATAATTGCAGATCCTGAAGAAATTGCGTTAGATAATTGAATATTGCTAAAAGAGAGTACACAATTTCGTGCTCAGTAAATAATGGTTTCTTCCGTATCAATGTTCCAGGTCACTTTTAAGAATTACACTTTGAGTATTTAAAAAACAAGATATTTTGCAGTCTTTCCTACCGAGAAGTCGATACTTCCTTGTTTTATTGTGCGCATTTAATGTCGTCCAATAATGGACCTATTGTATGTATAAGAAGATTAGCAGCACAAGTTAGTTTTAAGTGGTAACCAGTTGAAGAAAAAGTTTGAGCTAATTTTTTTTAATGCGACGGATATTCAGAACAGTATTGTTTTGCGTCATTCATATAGCAGATGACATCATTAGTTAACGGCCCTGACAAGTACACTTACACTCAAATCCTACCAAAACTACTAGCTTTTCTGGGTTAACTGTCAAACGTTAACATTCAACTTGTTGTCTACTAGTGGCATTAATTTTGTGATCTCCACTTATTTACAAATCCTATAATATCAATACTTCAGAATTTTTTCTAATTTACTTAGTAACTCATAAATTATTTTTCTGTAAAATATCCCTGTTTTATCCTTGTTTAAGTGGAAATCCCGATGTCTTTCTATGTGTGCATATGCGTAGGTGTAAATATATTCCTATACATGTGAAAATGCCCACTTTTTACTGTCAGTATATGCCAACTTATTGACCGCACCAAAAGAAAATCGATTATAATGTCTGTATAGCTTATTTGTTTATTATTATTTTCATGACCGTAGTTATTAGCATTATTTATAAACATTTATCGGACATATATATACACCCTGTGTTAAATCCCTTAGTTTGCTACACTTTTAACTGTGTTTTTCTTTCTCTGCGATGTTGATGGTGCAAATCTGCATTCCTGATGATGATGATATTTTATTGAATTTTGTTTGTAAATGCTCAATGTTAACATTCATGAAATCTAGGTCTGTCGATTGCCTCCAACGATTTAACGCTTAGGATTCATGTATCTGTTGTCAGTTAACTGGTGTTGTCTAGTACCTATCTTGTGCTCTTCCCTTTTCTCTTCCTAATTTCCCCTGTGTCTAGTTTACTCTGCTGTCGAGTATATACATACATTTATGTTGAATTATTATTGTTTCTTACTTGTTGAGAGTTTAGCTGTTATTCTCAATGAGATACAATACAAGTAAGGAAAAACGGTATTAGTGATCAATCAAAACCAAAAAGAGTATCTTAGAAGCATCATAAATTGCATTTTTGTTAAACATCATGAAATTGAATGATTGTTCACTCTAAAACGTAAATGTTTCAATGTCTTAAAAGTGTAAAATTATAATAAGGGAACCAAATAAGTAATTTGTTTGTTATTTACTGAGAAGGAATATTTTTCAAATAAGACACCATTATCATAATCATAGTGTTGTTTCATTAGTCCTCGTTGATTTAGAAAAAAATATTTTTTTTTGAATTCACTTCATGTTTCTACATAGTTCATTCAGTACAGTACGCCAAGAATGTTTATTCTTAAAATGGAACCCTTCCAAATTACTTAAGTAATGTAATTATTATTCATTATTTTGAGATGATATACGTTTTTATAATTCGATGTTATAAAAAAAGCAAATATAAAAACCATTTCAATGTACTGAGGTTAAAAACAACACTCTTTTAATGTTTTATAAAACATATAAGATAATGAATACTATTCTACAACTATGACTCATTTGACTTTTCCCTGCTTCCATTTCCGTCTTCCTATATTTCTGCCCTTATTGGTTTACTTTTCTTTTTCTCTTGATATATCGTCGTGAAGTGTTTCAATCTCTTGATGGTCGGTATAATTGACCTTTGTGCGTCGGTGGCACAGTGGTTAGGACTCTCGCCGACCATGCACATGGTCCGGGGTTCGATCCCCTGCCGACGCACACCCGATATCTATGGTCGGCTTGCGAAATTGGGCTACCGATATCACATGCTGAAAATTCCATACTTGTACTGAAAATACGGTGTGGAATCAAGCTATAATAAAATAAATAAAATAAAATAGATTTCCACATTTCTTATTGTTTCTCTTTGATCTTAACGGGCTGATAAAATGTAGAAATGACAGTGTGAAATGGTTACTGTATTCTTAATTTTATTTTTGTACATAACAGAAATTCGTTATGACAGTTCTGTGTTATTTTGGTTACTTAACAAGTAATAATAATAATGTGAGCAATACTGTTTACTGGTGAGTATTAATTACTGAGGCTGGAGGATTGTGTTAAACATTACTGTAATTGACTTACATTTTTGTATCGTTCATCTCTCTCTTTTTTTACACTTGTGACAGCCCCGGAAATTGTCAACTTCGATCCTATTACTTTTGCTACAGATATGTGGGCTATTGGGGTATTAACGTATATTTTGTAAGTTTATCATTTCACTTCATATACTTGTTATTATTTTGGTTGTTATTATTATCATTAAGATTTATCGATAGTTTCTGTAATTCCTATTTATTAGTGATAATGATCACCAGTAATAATGTTATTCAATTATTTGTTTTTGTATCTTAGCACTTAGAATTATCCTTTATGTCTGATATTTTTAAAACTATAATCTTTTATTATGCTATAGTAGTCGAACACCATGAATTTACTATTTAAAAAATCAACATGAAAGTAAAATGCATAACATACTCGTATCACTTAAATTTTTCCGGTTACATTGATTAGAGGCCTATCTTCTCGTCACTCCAGCTAAGGCCTTAGATAGAGCTATGTGATTATGATCCAGCGACTAATTTTCACTGTTAATTTAATTTACGTTATTTTGTGAAGACTACAAAGCATTTACGATTCAGACATTTAAAATTAAACTCGTATTCATTTAATGTTTATTGCACACTCATAACATAAGTACACAATTGTACTGGTAAGTATATACCTACTGAAAACTCATATATAGATTAAGAAAATTAAACGGATAAATGTGGTTATAAACCCATGCTAATTTAGGTAGGTGGAATATGGCTTTACACACTGCGGATAAGTTTACCGTGGCGTGTTGTGAAATCTGTATCAGCAAGTGATTGGATTTGAAGAAAGCTAAGAGTAGTTTCTTCTTCATGAATAAATACACTTGTTTAATTAATTTTTTAAATTATTTATGATTAAATTGTTTCTTTCCTGCTTTGTGTACTACATAGAGTGTGGCAACTTGAACTGCCGCACCTATGTGCAAAGTTCTGTCTAAAACAGACAGACAGACAAATTGTTCAATAGAAGCAAAAGACAATCACATTTCTTCTTCCATTCTGCCTTTGAGAATAGGATAAAAGTGTTATAAAAGATATGAACAGATCTAACTTGTTTGGTATGGGGTTTAACATAATACACATAAGGTAAAGTACAAACCAATGGTGTGATAGAGACATAAAACCTCAAAATTATAATAAGATATATGCACAATAACCGAGATTGTTCACAATTTCAGACCGACAGTCTTTTGTTGAACTTTAAAAGGTCAAGAGGGAGTTGCAGTACTGAATCATAGTAATGCTTAATACCATTATATAGTACAAAGAAGAATGAAGAATAAAGACCAGAATTCACATTCAGTTAAATAATAAAGTAGCACTATCAAGTTGTAAGAACACTGATAAAAAATATAACTTGATGTAACTAAATATTTCAGCTTCTAGTAGCATGGTTATTAGGAGGAATCAAATCACCACCTCCAACTAACTGAGCAATTCCACGTCTACCAACTACTTCTATTGCAGGAGTGAAGACCTTATTCATCACTAACTCAGCTGAATGGTCTATAGCATTGGCTAATTCCGCCGCTTGACCAGTATAACTTAAAAACAACCAGGTAAACAATGTTATTAAAGCAATGTAGAACGGCATAGTCAGAACATTTGAAATCACTGATAAGCCAATGAACTCAGATATTCCTGTGACAACATAGAAAAGCAGTAAGATGACAACCAAGACGGTTGGAGTACGTGGGCTTTATATCATCAGTGTTACAAACAGCGGACGATGGGTGACGCGAGAGCGCACGCCGTGCAAATAATCAATGTAGAGGAGTGCAACAAAAAACTTCGTTCAGCTTAAATGAAGAGGCGTTATCGGCTATTCTTTTGAAACCAGGTGTGCGTGACAAAAAAGTTGTAGTTTTGTCAGTTGCGGGAGCCTTCCGACAAGGGAGATGGTTTCTGTTGGGTTTTTTCCTTCGTTACCTATTGTGTGAAGATCGCACAAACTGGCTAGGAGATCCGGATAAACCCTTAAAAGGGTTTCCGTGGAGGGGTGGTTCTGAACGAGATACTGTCGGTATCCTACTTTGGAGTGAACCTTTTGTTATGACCCTACCTTCAGGGGAAGAGGTTGTCGTTTTACTAATGGATACACAAGGTTCTTTTGATAGCACTAGTACTATGTGTCATTGTGCCACAGTTTTCGCTCTGAGTACAATGTTGAGCAGTATCCAAGTTTACAATATACATGGTAATATCCAAGAAGATCACCTCCAACATCTTCATCTGTTCACTGAATATGGTCGGTTAGCATTAGAGTCAGAAGTTTCTGGGTCTCCATTTCAGCATCTGTTGTTTCTTGTTCGTGACTGGAGTTATCCTTACGAATATAATTTTGGAAAAGATGGTGGTAATCAGTTGCTCAATAACCGTCTCAAGATTGTTCAACAACACCACACAGAGCATCAAACTGTTCGTCGGCATATTCGATCGTGTTTCTCTCAGGTGGATTGTTTTCTAATGCCTCATCCTGGTCTTAAAGTTTCAACTAATCCGAAGTTTGACGGGCGAGTGAGAGACATTGATCCCGGTTTCGTTGAAAATCTCATAGTTCTAGTCCCTGATCTCTTAGCTCCAGTCAATTTAGTTGTCAAAAAAATAAATGGCCAGGAAGTTACGTGCCGTGAATTATCTACTTATTTCAAAGCATACATAAAGATTTACGAGAGTGATACTCTTCCAGAACCACGTTCAATGTTGGAGGCGACTGCAGAAGCAAATAATTTAAATGCAATATTAGCTTGTCAAGAAATGTACACAGAGGCGATGAACAAGATATGTGGACCAGACCGACCGTACATCAACCCAAATGAACTAGAAGCATTGCATTTGAAAATATATAATAATTGTATTGAGAAGTTCAATAGTATCCCTAAAATGGGTGGTGAAGCATTTTCTGAAGATTATTTGCATCGCTTAAAGGAAACAATAACGCAAATGGGAGAAGACTTCCGCTTAGTGAATTCTAAAAAGAACATATTTCAAACCTTTCATACTCCAACCGTCTTGGTTGTCATCTTACTGCTTTTCTATGTTGTCACAGGAATATCTGAGTTCATTGGCTTATCAGTGATTTCAAATGTTCTGACTATGCCGTTCTACATTGCTTTAATAACATTGTTTACCTGGTTGTTTTTAAGTTATACTGGTCAAGCGGCGGAATTAGCCAATGCTATAGACCATTCAGCTGAGTTAGTGATGAATAAGGTCTTCACTCCTGCAATAGAAGTAGTTGGTAGACGTGGAATTGCTCAGTTAGTTGGAGGTGGTGATTTGATTCCTCCTAATAACCATGCTACTAGAAGCTGAAATATTTAGTTACATCAAGTTATATTTTTTATCAGTGTTCTTACAACTTGATAGTGCTACTTTATTATTTAACTGAATGTGAATTCTGGTCTTTATTCTTCATTCTTCTTTGTACTATATAATGGTATTAAGCATTACTATGATTCAGTACTGCAACTCCCTCTTGACCTTTTAAAGTTCAACAAAAGACTGTCGGTCTGAAATTGTGAACAATCTCGGTTATTGTGCATATATCTTATTATAATTTTGAGGTTTTATGTCTCTATCACACCATTGGTTTGTACTTTACCTTATGTGTATTATGTTAAACCCCATACCAAACAAGTTAGATCTGTTCATATCTTTTATAACACTTTTATCCTATTCTCAAAGGCAGAATGGAAGAAGAAATGTGATTGTCTTTTGCTTCTATTGAACAATTTGTCTGTCTGTCTGTTTTAGACAGAACTTTGCACATAGGTGCGGCAGTTCAAGTTGCCACACTCTATGTAGTACACAAAGCAGGAAAGAAACAATTTAATCATGAATAATTTAAAAAATAAATTAAATAAGAGTAGTTTGTTTGATGCATCAGAAAAATGTGTAGACGAGTCTTCAAAGAAGTGTGAAGGAAACAACTAATTAACTGTTATAGTAAAGTGTTTACCACTACCAGAAGCCAAGCAGGTATTTGTAACACACGGTATTGAAGCAGACCCCCGTTTTTATTAGAACTAGATTCACTTAAAGTATTTACCTGAGCAAAATATATATGTTCCAAGTGGGACATTAGGCTTCGGCCGCACATCTCTATTGTACTCCATTATCTGTTGTCATTTTCATTTGGTTTCACGACTATCCACAAGCTTCCATTTCCTCTTCACATGATCTCTTACACAATACCCTCGTACGCCTAACTTATCTCTCCCCACTCTGGTTACACCTGGTGACCTAGCATGTGATATCAGTCAACGGTTTCCTCACCATATGTTCAGACTGCAGTTAAGGCTTTAGATAGAGCTATAAGTGATTATGATCCAGCGACTAATTTTCACTGTTAATTTAATTTACGTTATTTTGTGAAGACTACAAAGCATTTACGATTCAGACATTTAAAATTAAACTCGTATTCATTTAATGTTTATTGCACACTCATAACATAAGTACACAATTGTACTGGTAAGTATATACCTACTGAAAACTCATATATAGATTAAGAAAATTAAACGGATAAATGTGGTTATAAACCCATGCTAATTTAGGTAGGTGGAATATGGCTTTACACACTGCGGATAAGTTTACCGTGGCGTGTTGTGAAATCTGTATCAGCAAGTGATTGGATTTGAAGAAAGCTAAGAGTAGTTTCTTCTTCATGAATAAATACACTTGTTTAATTAATTTTTTAAATTATTTATGATTAAATTGTTTCTTCCCTGCTTTGTGTACTACATAGAGTGTGGCAACTTGAACTGCCGCACCTATGTGCAAAGTTCTGTCTAAAACAGACAGACAGACAAATTGTTCAATAGAAGCAAAAGACAATCACATTTCTTCTTCCATTCTGCCTTTGAGAATAGGATAAAAGTGTTATAAAAGATATGAACAGATCTAACTTGTTTGGTATGGGGTTTAACATAATACACATAAGGTAAAGTACAAACCAATGGTGTGATAGAGACATAAAACCTCAAAATTATAATAAGATATATGCACAATAACCGAGATTGTTCACAATTTCAGACCGACAGTCTTTTGTTGAACTTTAAAAGGTCAAGAGGGAGTTGCAGTACTGAATCATAGTAATGCTTAATACCA